GCTGATTATTAAAAGGCGATCACTCCATCCTATCAACGTGCACGAGGTTTATACAGCTATAAGAGAATTATAGACATTCTACAGTGACTGATTTTGTGAGATGACAACAATCAATGTTTTGCAACTTGAATCTATTTTCCCATTTGGATTACTTGTATAAAAAGGCCAGCGACAGAGTTCGCTTCCGCATCTTTGGTGTAATAATTGAGCGGGAGAAACTATCCACCATGCTACCCACGCCGCTCGGTGATTTTTATGGACCATATGCATATTCTTTTTAGACGATGGGTGATGTGTATATCAGCTTACATAGGTCTCCGAGTCCGTTATTGCCCGTCATCTAACCACTCTAACAACGCTGTAAAATGGAATACAAGTTGGGCTTACCATTTTAAGGACATAAAAAATCAATAAGTAGCGTGGTCCTTACTTGGATTACGGCACGTTCGCGAACAGCATGTCTCCGCTACAAGTGGTCGAAGAGAGCCGATTGATCATCAACAATCTACGGCATCACCGACCGCCTGTGGGCACGCTTAAATCGACAATAGTGGCAAACCCTGACAGCGGATGAGGTGGGTGTGGTCATCTCAGCACATCGATACCCGGCCCACTACAATATAGCGGATGCTGCAGCTATGCTACTTTGAAAAACATAAACTTGCATTGATGCAAAACTACTTTTGGCGATTATGTCCCGAACACGATGAAGGGTACTGCTACAACCATTTAACTTATCACTACACACACCCGATTCCACACCTATTACACACAACAATACTTAGTACGACAAATATCGCGCCAATGTGCCTTCATACAACCACTATATTACGAAATGCTGCATCTGTCGTACGAACAACAAGTGATTTTACCATCTAATCTTTCTTGAAATGGCAATGTCCTAGTGTTAAAAGTAGCAGTTAAGTAAAGTAAACGAATTGTGTTGTATCGCGCACCAGATGCGTTTTATAATCCCGTCTGGGGCTTTATTAGTGCTTTGTCAATCTACAAGCGAGAACTATCCCTACATCTAGCTGCATAGTACAAATTACAATGCATAGAACCCTAAAGAACATAATACACATTCCCATTATAGGTCGAATCTCTGGATTCAATATCAATGGGTCACGCACTTTCAACACCTAGTCCTTAAGCAGATCCAGGATATGATCGATTGAAATACAAATGGCCGTATAGTACAATTTCTGTTTCCGATAGGTGATTTTCTCTGCGACTGGTGTATCCGGTTACGTGAGGTAAAAAGTACCCCTCCGTTTCATACATTTTGTGTATCTTTTTCTGAAACCTGGCTGTTGCCATTGTGTCGGACTGGATGTATTCGACATTTACTACCGAGTGCGTCGTGGTCGTCTTCATTTCTTTTTACGAACACAAAGATCTTCATTCGTCCAATGCGTGCTAGAAGAGTGTTACTTCGTAAAAAAAACTTACAATTGTATGACAGATGAATATTGTCGTGCGACAATGGTTGTGCAGAGGTACAGTGGCGCAATTTGTATTGTGCAAACCATACTGCGGTGTGGTACGTGTGTAGTGTTTGATGTATATTCAGTTGAAAGCAGGGGCGTATGTAACAATACCCATGATAAAGCCCCATTTTCTAGACGATATGCCACTTTGCTGGACAATGTTATCGAACCACAAGACCATCGTCAGATACTGCGCCTGTGGAGCTCATTTCTTTGGCATTCACTCAGCTCACCCGAGTGCAACAACGTCTGACCTAAAACGCTCTTAGACACGCTAGTAAAGTAAAGATCGTGGGTTAGTCTCTTCGTACAGCTCGAGCCCATAACTCTTATGTCAGTAACGTACTTTTTGATGAAATGAGGTGGCTTGGTAACTGGCATAAACGACCTGTTTCAGCAAGATGAACAGCGAATATAATTCATAATCACAGCTCCTCTATATTGCTGCAGTGCAATTTAATTGGTTGTTTTTGGGGCAGTTGAGGAAGAGACGATCGCTATCGAAATATATACCATGGATATCTGTTTTTTTAATCAGATAAAGGTCGTCCACCCCAGCTATCGATATCATCTGCGACACGCTGAATATCAAGCTGAATATCAAGAGAACACGGCACGGAGGAGTGTAATTGAGCCCTGTCATCCTCAACTCTTACTCACTGTCGGAAACGAGTGTCAGAATCGTGCAGTTAGGTCAGCCGTTGGCACTCCAGCTGTTGTAGAATTCCGTCACATCACATCACAATAAATTGCTGGTGGTGAGACGGCTATTTTTATTCGAAAGGTGACATTGTCGCGCGAGCGCGAGCCGACTTTGAGGTCTAAACTTCCATCGCCTGAACCACGCCTCAATTTACGTAGATGTACCTGACAGCGAGTGGGACAATCCTGATGCAGTTCATGCTAGATTTTTGATATTGCTAGTTGCCTACAAAGCAATAGTGACTGTGGTCTTGAAGAACTGAATCGAAGGCAAACACCAGATGAACATACTGACTGGGGTCTTTGCCACTCTGCGTTTGTGCTTTCTCTCTCTTTTTTATAAAACCTACTGCTTTTTTACATCCGAAAAGTAAAGTTGACTGTAACGGGGTAGCCCGTTACATAAATTGACACCAAACGGTGTCAAAAGGAATATTGTCTAGCTTGACAATATTCTACCAATGTTATCCAAGATGGATAATATTGAAGGAATGTTATCCTTCTTTGAACATATCCATGCGCTGCTCCAAGATTGGTTGGTAAAGACATATCAACCACAGATTGCCACCAATCGCTTCTAGACGCGCACAATGAGTGGTGAGCAGGTTGTCGTCATACGGCGACGACGTAGTTCAATATAGTTAGACAAAGTTTAAAGTTTAATTGATAGCTTAACTACATTAAATACAGTTCTCTTTTTATCTTCACTTAAATGAGTCGTTGAGTAGACTAGCTACCCCCGCACGTACTAGTGTACTTGAAGTTTCGTGGCACCCCGAACAAAGGGTGCCCCGTTATACCTGGTAGCACTTTGTAGTCCGTCCAACCACTACTTAGTGTCCGTCCAACATGAACATGTTGGACGTAGACGACGACAGCTTTCACGTCACACGTGAAGGCTACTCCCATCTGAGTGACTCAGAATGGGAGTTAGTCGGCCGCATGAGTGTGCTCATGGGCTAACCCGTCATCAGTGGCATGTTGGGTTATCGAAGCAGATATCAGCAACATGCTGCTATCAACAAGTTCCTACAAGGGGAACTTGCCGTCGAAAGACAGAAGATAGCCTTGCTACAGAAGCAAGACTCTCATCAGTCGATGGGTGGGCCGACGCACATACGTCGACCCGAAACCTTGAAGATTGATATCTCAAGGTACAAGGGAACCGATGAAGATTCCCTTTTGAGATGGTTCGTCGAGTTAGACGACGCCATCAGGGCCCGTCACATCGAGGGTGACGAGATGCAAGTCACCTTCGCCCTGTCAAATTTGACGGGACGAGCAAAGACTTGGGCCTTAGGGCTCAAGCTTCACGACCCAAACGTGTTTGAGTTGCTGGAAATCTTGAATTCTCGGCTCAAAGAGACGTTTGAGTCGCCGAGAGCCGAGTTCAGAGCACGCTCTGCACTCTTGAGGCTAAAGCAAGGTAAGCGTGACGTGCACGCTTACGCACAGCACCTACGCTACCTTGCAATTAGCGCTACGGAAAACTCTGTTGATGAGCACACGCTCATCAACGTGTTTATCTACGGCCTTGTAGATAGGCCGGTGAAGACCTACATGTTCCGAGAGGACTTCTATAAACTGGAAAAGGCGATAGCGTATGCGGAACAAGAAAACTTCAGCCCGAGACAGTCTCAGGCTAACTCGTCAAACTATCGTCCGTCGAGACGACAGGAAACTGAAAGTTCCGAGGCGATGGAACTCTGTTACATCGAGAGCGAAAACTCTCGCTCTCTGAGTCACAAGCGAACGGCAAGATGCCATCGCTGTCAGAAGATTGGACACTACGCTCATGAGTGTAGTGTCCCGAGAACTGCAACACGTCCAAATTCAGGACGTGATGACCACCGTTGGTCAAGGAAAGGTCCGCGGCGTGGGTCCGACCATGCCGCTAAGCCTCGACAGCAAGTCGGACCGTCAAAAAACGGTCAGGGTCAGTAGGGGTGGAGCACCCTGCTGATCCAGCAACGTCAAAAAAAATGTCGGACTCTTGACGAAATTTGCTCCCGACACCCAGTCTCTGTGATTACTGCCCCTAGTGGTGAGGAGTCCCTCTTCACTTTGAAGATCAAAGTGACATGTGGAATGTCACTTCGCGCTCTGATTGACTGTGGGGAGTCGAACAATTTTACTCGACGACAGTCGATAGAACATAGTAGGCTTAACAATGTTGAGCGATGCCCCCTCCGAAGCATCTGACGGTTTGCCTTGCAACAGGCGCATCCATAGCAGTGAACAAACGTGTAGTTGGAGTCCACTACACGCTAGAAGGAAAGCAGTACGATGATGATTTCATTGTACTAGACTTGGATGACAAATTTGATGTCATTCTCGATCTGAAAGAACCAGAAAGTACCGGCCATGGGTTAGCTGGCATCATCAATCCGTGAAGATGCCTGCCTTATGTTCATCGGGTGACCATCTGATGAGCGTCTTGGAGCTTCCACAAGCGTTTGGATGCACTACGAGTGAGTGCGATGGCCTCACTTGTGGTACGGTCGTTAGTATGACTGCACAAGATCACAGTGTAGAAGGCCACTGCACTGTGGAACCAGCTTCCGGCACCTGTGGAGAGACACAGGCTGCGCCGAAGGTTCACCACTTGAAGAGATCGAGTGGACTGGAACACGGATGCACACCAAGAAGGGTGCATCCGAGGAGAAAGATTAGTGTTGTTCAGGATGAACAACACGTTGAAGCGAGATCGACTATCAGAGAGTCGATCGTAGAGCAAGCCCGATCAAGAAAAGAGAGTCGATCGAAGAGGACGTGACTGTGGTAGTGCACCCACAGTCATAACACGTAATGGAAGAAAGTTCTAGCGTTCCTGAGAGTGGTAACTCCCGCGAGAATTATGTTGAGGGTGTGGATCCCCAACCACCTGCGGATGTGTTTTCCCAGGAAATCACTGAGACCGTGAATGTCTTGGTGAATGACGGATCAAGTATAGGCGCTCAAACACTTGATCTGGTATCACCTCCGAAATCAGCTTCGGATGTAGTCAAGTTGCCAATGCTAGTATCTAAACGATTCTTGCAAGATCTGCGTAGTGACAAGATCAAGCAGATCTGCGCACTCGTCCCAGAGTACGAGTGCGTTGCCTATACTCGGTCGGCTCTAGCGTCTGCTGAGAACAAACTAACAAACTGGTTCTCAGTAGCTTATCGATGAGAGTGTCCTCGATGAGAAGACCCGGATTGAGCGATACACGTCCCAATCTCGGGATTCTCTGAAGACAAATCCTTTGTATAAGGATTTGGTTGAATTCAGGGATGTTTTACCGGAATCTGTGCCATGCGAGCTGCCTAAGGACAAAGGCACCAGGTATGAGATCGAACTAAAACCCGGTTCGAAATACTGCGTCATGAAGCAGTGGTTATTGCATCGTGAACAAGTCACAGCGATCGACAAGTTCTTTGCCAAATGCTTAGCAGCTGGTCATGTGAGGGAATCAACATCCCCATATTGCTCTCCGACCTTCTGTGCGCGAAAAGCAACAGGAGGTTGGCGGATAGTGCATGCATTTAACAAGTCGAATGCTGCAACGGTACCGGCTCACACGCCGATCCCAAGAAAGGATGTCATCCTAGAAGGTATGGCAAAAAGCACCATCTTTTCATCCATGGATCTGATGGATGGATTCTGTCAGATCCTCACGCGTGAACGGGACATCCCGTACACAGCAGTGAGCACCCCCGGTGGTATGCTCTGGGAGTGGGTATTGATGCCACAGGGGCTAAGTAACGCCCCTGCAACGTTCAACAGATGTGTTACAAATATGTTGCGATCGGTGCGCGATTTCGCACCGAGTTACTTCGACGATGTCTTCGTCCATAGCCGGGCTATGGATGGAAAGACGGACGTGGAGGTTCATAGAATTCACGTCCGCAAGGTTCTTACTTCAATGCGAGAGCATAAGTTTTTCGCAAACCTCAAGAAGTGTATATTCGCAGCGAACGAAATACCACTTCTTGGGTGCATCGTGGGTAAAAACGGTGTACGCCCTGATCCGGAAAAGATCAAGACGATTAGCGACTGGCCTGTGCCAGCCGAAGTCAAGGGACTTTGAAATTTCCTTGGCTTGGCGGCGTGCTTGCACAGATACTCGCGCAACTACGCCGAGATGACAGTACATCTCTCTCGTATACTAAAGAAAAACGAGAGGTGGTTATGGAGCACTGAGTGTCAGCACTCTTTTGAAGGCATCAAGAAAAGCTTAGTGCAATCGCCTGTGTTGGTGATTGCAGATCAGGATAGACCATTCCATGTGGTCTGTGACGCCAGCAATTTTGCGATCGGCTGCGCGTTAATGCAGTACGACTCAGACGGCGTTGAGCGCGTCGTCTGCATTCAATCGCGTCAGCTGCAAGCAGCTGAGCGAAATTATCCGGTGCATGACAAGGAACTCCTGGGCATGAAATATGCACTGGCCAAGTTTCGGGTATATCTCATAGGAGATAGGCCCTACATCGTACATACCGACCGTGCGTCGTTACGCACGGCCGTAAACAGTCCACACCTCTCGCAACGAATGGTGAGGTGGCTGTCTTTCTTTTTGTAGTACGACTTCTCAGTCGAGTATAAGCCAGGACGACTTTATGTCGTCGCTGATGCTCTTTCGCGTCGGCCCGATTTCGAGCCGACTGCTCAACCCAATAGTAGGGGTGATCCCACTGTAGCGACACGAACAGTGAGTGTTCCGTCTTCAAATCTTCTCGATGACGTGCGAAAAGCATACACAGAAGATGAGTCTTTTCTGCGACGGATTGATTACGTATCCAATCCGTGTAATCAAGCTGTGAAAAGCTTGTCGTCTCAATACCTCTCTTACACCGAACGGTATTCTGTTCGTTATGGACTGCTGTAATATACAGCATTCAACGGCGACACACCTCGTGTCTTTGTTCCGGCTCATAATGATTTGCGATTGCGCATCATGTATGAGTGCCACGATTACCCAACAGGTGGGCATCGCGGTAGAGAAAAGACTTACCTCATGGTGAGTCGTGACTTCTACTGGCCCCGCCAGTATGAATTTGTGCGGAAATACATTCGCGCTTGCGAAGTTTGTCAACGGGTGAAGCCTAGTCCTTCATCCCACGCACCCTTGCAGCCTCTTCCGATTCCGGCATAGTGCTGGCAGTCCGGATCAATGGACATCGTCTTTGGGTTTCCCAAAGTCTTTCACAAGAACAATGGTATTCTTGTGTCTGTTGATCGGTTCACCGAGATGATACATCTTGTTGGCGTATCGGAGTCAATCACAGCCCATGGCTGTGCGCGTGTCTCCATCGATACTATCTTTCGACTTCACGGGTTACCCCGTGAACTCGTGTCCGATAGGGACCCCCTCTTCACAGCAGAGTTCTGGCAATCCTTGTGGCGTTCCCTAGAAACACGTTTGACGATGTTGACTTCTGATTATCCAGAAACAGATGGTCACACGGAACGCGTCAACCGCGTCCTCGAAGAGATACTTCGAGGATATGTCCACTCGTTTACGAGCTGGAGTGAGTTCTTGCCGATGGCGGAATTCGCCATCAACAACTCGGTGCATGCGTTGACAACGCATGCACTCTTCTTCGTGAATGGCCTACGTCATCCACGCTTACCCGCCTTCTTAGAGTGTGACTCTAGTTTTAGGGGGTGGACTCGCTCGAGCAAAAACCGATCTGGTTCTTGCTCATCACCCGTCGACAATGGTGTCGACGTGATGGGTGCCGATATCGATGCGGTCGATATCGATGATGGTGATGACGATGATGCTAGTATGTTCAGCATCGCCAATGACTGCCAAAGTGAGGACGATTACACCCTCACTGGTGAAGACAACGTTCTTTCAGCAGTGCACACGAAGCGCACTGCTGTTGACAAGGATGAATCAGCAGAGGAATCTCTTCTGACTCGCGAAGCGGTCATCCGCTTCGTTCAAGACTCTTTTGCAATTGCATCAGACAGACAGAAGAGAAACGCAGACAAACAGGGAAGAGCAAATGCTCTTGTTTTACTGTCTACAATAAACCTACCATAACACGCAGTGACAAACGTGGGCAGCAGTATATTACCGCCCAGGTACATCGATCCATTTTGTTTTGCGCCGAATGGGCAACGCATACAAGATTGAACTGCCCCGTAAGATGCGTACGCATCCTACGTTGTACGTTGGACGTCTCCGCCCGTACTATCAGTACGAGCCCGTTTCGAGAGGCGAAGAACACTTCCGCGGTCGAGAGCCGAGACCACCTTCGAGTGGTCCCATTTTAACAAGCCAGTCTGGTCGACTAGCGAAGCGACCTGCTCACGCAGTTGAGCGATGTCTCGACGAGCTACAGACAGATCGTCACGAAAAGAACGATTAGAACGTTCGTGCGCTAAGGAATTGTAAGTACTTCTTACAAGATTGTGGAGCCCATAACGCTGAGTCCCATAATGACCTAGTTCATCGTGTAACTGTTTCGTTACACGATTCAGCTTTTGAACATCAAGCTGATCTTAAACTCGAGCCGGATCAGGTGTTCCCACCGCCACCACATCCTTTGGTGGACTTAAGCTGTGTTCAACGCTTCCTAGTAGAGCGTATTTTGAACCACAGCGATTTGAAAGGCGCCCGGACGAGTAACCTCGTCAGCCGGCGTGGCTTTCCACCGGCTTGGGACAGCTGGTAGACTCGTGCCCAGCTGATTGTTGATGTCCTTGGTCTCGTCGATCAGTACGACGAGACCCACCCGCCTCGTTCGAAGAAGGGCCGTCGGAAAATGACCTCCCCGAACGCGAGTACAGGGATTGCATGGTGTCAATCTCTTCGGCCATTTCAGAAGAAATGCGCAACCTTCAGTAGATATTATTGGGGAGGAAGGCCTCCCTACGGGCACGCATCGAGTTGTCCAGGAAACTTGGACACGAATCACCCCACGAGAGACAGGGTAATCCTGCCTCTCTTGACAGTCGGTGCAACTTGTACCGTACACCGACTGGGTTGCGTTTCTCAAACCTGATGCGAGCTGCATTAAGCTTACCGAGCCAGGCCTCACGGTAAATGCACTCGATGTTGAGGATGAGGGCATTCCATCCTTGTACCAAGGCTTTGCCATCTCGCACACGGCTACCATTGTACAACCGATGTTTGAAATACGCATCGGTGAAAAATTCTTTCTTAGTATGGATAGTATCCGTGCTATAATCAGGTAAGCAAATCTTCCTACAATCCAACAACACGATTCGATCCCGATCGGAGGTCATGCCGGCAAACCGGTTCAACTCTTTAGATGACGTCATCCAAGGAGAATCCACTTGAGGAGCGTGGTGCAGGACATTTTGGTCCCTGTCCTCTTAATTGGTGTCAGCATATGCACTGGCACCAGTGTTACCCCGATCCCTTGAATTACACCGCTCGTGGTGATGATCAGAGGCATCACCACCATCGCCACGCGTCCTACCATTGGATGGACTCGCGTGAAACAAGGATTCGTTGGAAAAATCGCTCGATCCGAAGATCTCAGACATGATACCGCCGCGCTGACCAGAGCCATTTAACCTGGCTCTTGCAATGTCCGCCCGGGTGATCCAGAGGCGTGAGGAGTCGCCTTCGAGTCGGATGCATCATCCGACTCGCCATACATAGATGAGCTCTATCTCAAACTCGTCTGGATTACGAATCGAGGTACCCTCAGACGCAACGGATGTACCTGTCGCACGTGGTGACTCACCACGTGGAGGATTCATGACAACAGGCGACGAACCGCCTGCTGCTGAGGTGTGAAAGTCAATTTCCGCGGCCGCACGCATGCGTGCAGCCGCCCTTCTTGCTGCTGCAGTAGCAGCTCGCGTAGTTATCGAAACCATGCGTTGGATTGGCAAATGAATGGGATTTGATCAACAAGTGCTCCCTTTCCCAGAGTGATCCAACGGTGGTGACCCTGTCCTAATAAATTATATTTCAATCAACGGGTGATTGATGATTAAGGGGGTGATGTAACGGGGTAGCCCGTTACATAAAATTGACACCAAATGGTGTCAATAGGAATTTTGTCTAGCTTGACCATATTCTACCAATGTTATCCAAGATGGATAATATTGAAGGAATGTTATCCTTCTTTGAACATATCCATGCGCTGCTCCAAGATTGGTTGATTAAAGACACATCAACCATAGATTGCCACCAATCACTGCTAGACGCGCGCAATGAGTGGTGAGCAGGTTGCCATCATACGACGACGTAGTTCAAGATAGTTAGATAAAGAGTGAAGTTACATTAATAGCTTAACTATATTGATTATAGCTCTCTTTTAACTTACTTGATTAAATCGTTTAAGTAGCTTAGCTTCCTCTGGACGTACTACTGTACGTAAAATTTTGCGGCACCCCAAACAAAAGGTGCCCCGTTACACTGACCGTACAAATGTGATCCATACCATCTGGAAATGTTAGGCAATTATCACCATCTGTCGATATCTGTTCATTAGCTCTCATAATCAATAGCAACTAAATCCTTCCAAATATAAAGATCAAAAAGCTTAGGCTCCGGTAAAGGGTGTCACACTGGACGATCTATGGTCGACAACAACGCATCGTCCATGCATGTCTGCATTGTCCTGAACTCTTTTAGTGGGCCTGATTAACAAACCGCGTGGCTGCACAAAGTATAAGATTAAAGGAAGGCGGAAGGAAATAGTCACTAAGTCAATTTGTAAACATTTGACAACATTACATATACCATTAGTCTCAAGTAAATGGCAGATTAAACTAGATCCTGTCACGTGCTTACATGTAGGTATGTAGCGTGCAACAATCCAGCACGCTCTAATAAATAATCGCTGGTAAGGACAAAGATTTGAGTTTAATATTAGCTGCATCTCACCCTATCATTTGGCTTTGTTGCTTTTCTAGATCATCATTATTTCGCACAGCGTGCGCTGGGTATAGCGTCAATTCTGACAGACCTGATTTTAAATTTAAGGCACTTTTCACGAATTTGACAGCACTCCTTGCTCTATTCTCCGATCCATTTGATCACTAGATGATGTACTGGGTTCATCCAGAGTCCCGGACTGACCCGGCTAAGAGCTCTGTTCGGATAATTATTGTATCGGAAATGTGTTCCGCAAATTCACCTCTCAAGACAAAGAAACGACAAAAGAGGTTCGAGGTCCGATGCCATGAATTGTCTAATCACGACAGTCGAGACTCATCGCGATTGCAAAAAGCACTAATGCCACCCAACGACGGTTTTACGACAGCACATTCTTATGCTCTATGAGACACAGCTCATGTAACGGTGTGCCTTTATTACATGATATTTTACACAAGGTAAATATTAAGTAAGAATAATTTGTATGGACATCAAGAATATTCCCATTTTGTTATTGAATTATTATTGTGTTGAAAAAATATCACACTGCTCATTGGTTGAAAACGATTATCGGTATCGACTAATTAAGCCGAACCACGACCGAAGAACGCAATGATTGGTGATTGCATAGTTACAATAAATGTTTATATATATTAAGTTATACGAAGACTAAATTAGATTTATAAACAGGAGATTTACTATACTAAATACAGTTCTACTTTTACCCCTTTTCTCTCGATGAAACTTTCGTCTGAACGACACGTGTACCTGAAGTCTCGAGGAATCACCTTACTCTGTGCTCAGTGTTTGTAGCTTGTACCGTGAAAGTAAAAAAGACTAGTCCACCGTTGCAGCATTCGTATTATCCGGAACATTTTTTGTTGCGTTTTGATGCACATATAAGGCGTGTCAGATTGCTATATCATGGAGCTTCCTGATGTTGACGGTTCCAAAAAATTGTACAAGTGGTGTCGTACCGTGGATATGTCGGTGTATTTAAAGAGCTGCACCAGCAGCAATCAAGACCGGTGTGCTGCAGGTTTATTTATCTAAGCAATAATTCCACACGAAAAAAAAGCAAGTGTGATGGCCTAATTACTACAACAGTAGTTGCTTGAGTTCGTGAACTTTGTGCGAAGATAGTAGCACAATTCTCTGAAGCGAATTGTGGACTGGAAGCTACAGCGCTGTCTTGCCGCTCAGGGTCAAAAGAAGATGCCATTAACATTTTGATGCACTCATGGTGTACCCAGACTCGAAGCAGAATCGTTCTTATCAAACACGACTCGACGCCGGAAGTTTTTACAAGGCAGTTGTGGTGCACGAAGGATAACACCCAAGTGCAAAAACAACACGTTTATAAAGGGACCTAAGCTCGGTAACTGACAGTAAGGAATCATTTGAGCAAGATAAACTGTGTAATAATAATCAATCATGGACATCCGAATATTTTGCAGTGTTAAATAGATTTTTGTCTTTATATGGCATTTAAATAAAAAACATTAGATATCACGTAAATCAGCATAATTGAGTATCTGCTATTAACTTATCTGAAGTCGTCAACCTTTGTCATCGAAAGCATCCGTAGCAACCCGAATCTTGAGGGATAACACAGAACGACAGATCATGCATGCAATATACGAGAATATTATCTTTGTCATCTTCAGAACGTGCTAAACGTTGTATAAGAGCGTCAGGATCTCGTAGTCAGTGTTGCTTTTTAGTATCATCACCTTTTTCACACGTCGACCGTCTCCATCGATTTATGAATGGATTGTCCACATCTGATTTTTTTCATCCCTGTCCGCCTTAGCTTAAAGTTAGAAAACTACATAGATTTCCGATCAGCAATTGCCTAAAAAGCAGGACAATGTACACAGAAAGACAACGACAAGAAGCAAATAACATGGATACATTGCTTACTGTGGGTTTGGTTATGTGTGTATTGATCAATGAAAGTAGAACGCTCTCTTTTTCACGGCATGTGTTGAGCTACACTTACATCCTAATATTAATCATACCCGAATTGCGGCAAGACAAACTTTTTGCAGTTGAGCTACCCTAACATCTTAGTCAAAGAAAGAATCCTTGACTTGTAGAATCTCTTAGTATATCATAATAAACAGATATAATATAAAAGGGTCGTAAGTCTTGCATATTTCGTGAGACTTAACTTTATGCGT